AATGAAGGCCATGACGAGAGACAAAAAAGGCTCCTACATAATAATGAAAGAATCTATCTAACAGGAGGATATAACCTTGGTAAACTTATATGCATCCAACATAGGAGCACCAAAATACATTAAAAACTTTTGGAGGACTTCAAAGGAGAAATCAACAGCAATACAATCATAGCCAGGGACTTCAACACCCTGCAGACATCACTGGATAGTCCGCTAGACAAAAATGACATCACAAAAATACAAAGGATGCTTAAAAAATACTATGAACAATTATATGTCAACAAATTGGACAATCTAGGGAAAATAGACAAATTTCTAGAAACACAGAATCTCCCAAAACTGAACCGTGAAGAGATAGAAAACTTGAACAGACCAATAACAACTAAGGGTATTAAAGATGTAATCAAGACTTTCTCAGCAAACAAAAACCCAGGCCCAAATGGCTTTATGGGAGAGTTTTACCAAACATTCAAAGAAGATCTAACACCCATTCTACTCAAACTATTAAAAAAATCCAGTAAGAAGGAAGACTTCCAAACTCATTTTATGAGGCCAGCATAATTCTAACTCCAAAACTAGATAAAGACACTACAAAGTAAGAAAACTGCAGGCCAATAACCCTGATAAACATAGATGCCAAAATCCTTAACAAATTTTTAGCAAATCGGATCCAGCAGTACATTTAAAAAATTATTCATCACGACCAAGTGGGATTCATCCCAGGGATGCAAGGCTGGTCCAATATTCGCAAATCAATAAATGTAATATACCATATAAACAAAATGAGAGATAAAAACTAAATGATCTTATCAATAGATGCTGAAAAAGCATTCGACAAAATCCAGTACCCATTTCTGATAAAAACACTCAGCAATGTAGGAGTGGAGGGACCATATCTTGACATAATAAAGGCCGTATATGAAAAACCTATAGCCAGCATCATACTCAATGGGAAAAAACTGAAAGCATTTCCCTTAAGACCAGAAACAAGACAGGGATGCCTACTTTTGATACTCTTATTTAACATAGTTCTGGAAGTCTTAGCCACAGCAATTAAACATGAAGAAAACATAAAAAGAATCCATTTATTGGAAAGGAGGAAGTGAAACTATCATTATTCGCAGATGAGATGATATTGTACATAGAAAACCCTAAGGACTCCATCAAAAATCTACTAGGGATAAAAAATGAATTTGGCGAAGTAGCAGGATACAAAATTAACATCAAGAAATCGATGGCATTCTTATACACCAACAATGAAGTCACAGAAAGAGAAATTAAAGAAAATCCCATTTACCATGGCAGCAAAAAACAAACAAAAACAAGAACCACACTAAGATAGCTAGGAATAAACTTAACCAAAGAAGTAAAGGACCTGTTCTCAGAAAACTACAAGACATTGAAAAAAGAAATTGAGGAAGATATTAAAAAGTGGAAGTATATATCTTGTTCATGGAGTGGAAGAAAAAATATCATTAAAATGTCCATATTACCCAAAGCAATCTATAGAGTCAATGCAATCCCCATCAAAATACCAACGACAGCCCTGGCCGGTTTGGCTCAGCGGTTAGAGCGTCGGCCTGCGGTCCTGAGAGACCCGGGTTCAGTTCCCGCTAAGGGCGCGTACCTCGGTTGCAGTTCGTCCCCGGCCCTGGTCGGTCGTGAGGGTGGCAGCCACTCGATGTGTCCCTTTCACATCGATGTTTCTCTCTCTCTCTCTCTCTGTTCCTCTCTCTCCCTCCCACTCTACTTGAACAAAAAATGGAAAAATGTCCTCGGGTGAGGATAAAAAAAAAAAATACCAACAACATTGTACACTGCTGGTGGGAATGCAGACTGGTGCAGTAACTACGGAAAACAATATGGTGTTTCCTCAAAAAATTAAAAATGGAACTTCCATTTGACTCAGTGATCACACTTCTAGGAATATATCCTAAGAAGCCTAAAACACCAATAAAAAAGAATGTATGGCCCTGGCCCATTTGGCTCAGCGGTTAGAGCGTTGGCCTGCGGTCCAGAAAGACCCAGGTTCGGTTCCCACTAATGGCATGTACCTTGGTTGCAGTTTGTCCCCCGGCCCTGGTTGGGTTGTGCGGGTGGCAACCACTCGATGTGTCCCTTTCACGTTGATTTTTTTTTCTCTCTCTCTCTCCCTCCCATTCTATCTGAACAAAAAATGGGAAAATGTCCTCGGGTGAGGATAAAAAAAAAAGAATATATGTACCCCTATGTTCATAGTAGCACTATTTACAATTACTAAGATCTGGAAACAGCCCAAGTGCCCATCAATAGATGAGTGGATAAAAAGCTGTGGTACATTTACACAAGGGAATACTACGCAGCTGTGAGAAAGAAAGATCTCTTACCCTTCGGGACGACATGGTGGGACCTGGAGAGTATTATGCTAAGGGAAATAAGCCGATCAGAGAAAAACAAATATCACATGACCTCACTTAATGAACAAAATAAGCTGATGAACAAAATAGACCCAGAGACATAAAAGTAGGGTTCAGACTGACAAACCACAAAAGATGGGGGTGAGGGACAGGGAAGATATAAACCAAAGAACTTATATACATATATACATAACCAATCAACATAGACAACAATTCTGCTGGGTGGGGGGATTGGGAAGAGGGTGTCAATGTGGAAAAAAGGGGAAACATCTGTAACAAAAATAAATAAGAAAAATATCCTCGGATAAGGATTAACAACAGCAACAAAGAATCCAATTTTCTCCCACACTTTTTACTTTTAAGGACTATCTTAAGAGAGACCAGAATCCTCCCCTCCTCTGTATTATTCCTATTCTTAAAAATTACTTCCTATAATCTCTTTTTCCTCTCAGACATTCATGAACTCTCCCAAACCCTTTGGGTGTTCTGGCCTCCTAGGCTCTGTGGCCCAGAGCTTCCGGGAAAAATATAAAGCTCTTTAAGACTCAGAAGAAAGGCACAAAGTATGGAGCAGGTCATATGTCATTGGTGAGAGGAACTCCGGGCAGGGGCTGTGACACAGGCATGGTATGAACTCCTCGCAGTCCTCCGGACAAAGTCCCTTGCCTCAGGTAGCAAGAGGCAGCTTTATGTTCTTCCTAGTCCTGGGCTAGACGGTCTCAATCCACAGGAAGTACGTTCCTCAGTGGGGAAATGACAGGCACAGAAAAGGGCTGGGAGGCAGGTGAGAAACTAGAGCAGCCAAAAAAAATATGGTTTACTTGATGCTGTTTACAACTTAACAAAGATCAATCAAACATGGACACTTAAAATGGATTTTTCATTTTTATTCAAGAACTTGACAGTGTGCATAGTAAATATTATAATATTGTATGAAGTATCAAAATGACTTCTCTCTATATATCTATAATCTATATATCTATGTATCTACATATCTCTATATATATGGTTTTAGAATGCACTTTCCACTTTCCTTACCTTGACTGCCCGCACTTTGAACTTGAATTGTTCAGTGTCACCGGAAGGGATGTAGGATTATGGTGTTTCCTGGTGTGTGACTTTCCTGAAGTCACAGTGGCTGAAGGAGTCTCAGGTCATTGCTCCCTCCACACTGCCTGGCCCAGTTCCCTGTGATGTTGATGTCCCTGCAGCCTGCAGCCACCGTAGCCAGATGGCCTCCCTGCTGTGCTCCCCTGCCTGGGCTCCCGCTGAGAGATCTTGGTTGGCCAGGTCCTGTGATTTAGCACATCTCAGAAACATCTGCAAATAAATCTTGTCACTTGACACAGCAGTCAAAACTTGAGTCACAAAGATTAACCATGTTTTTTTCTAGATGTTCAGTGTGTGCTTCATTAGCTTGAGGGGTGAAGTTATTCTCCCAGCTATTAAACAACCACCCAGCCTCAGCTGCAGGACATGGCAGCATGTCGCAAATAAAAAACTTTTCTACCTACAGGTTCTGGCTTTGTATCATCTTAACTAAGATAATCCTTTGTGTCAGTCCTCACTCCCTAAAGAGGTGGGAGACTGCCAAGTTCTAACAGGTTGTCAAGGCTGCTGCAGTGGAGAAGGGATGGGGACAGGGCACGCAGCCTCAGTGGAGGGGCACTTTCTGTATGTTGTGGCACATGAGCAGAGAATAAACTCCTCACGTGTCTTTATGCTGAGATGTGGTTCGAGGCATAATTTTTCCTCCAACTTGTAATGCACTTTTTCAGTCATGACTCTGCAGTTTACACCCTCTCTCCCACAACTGTCCAACTCCAGCTTCCAGAAACAAGCAGTACGCACATTGCCAGGGAACTATAAACACCTGAACCTGACTCTGGCCGCTGCTCTGTTCCTGAGGAGGAAACCCGAAGGAAGGAATTCTTTGAATGCTGGACTAGCGGAGTTCACGTGCACATTGTGCAAGACAAGCTGATAGTATCACCAAGCGCCTCCCGGTCCTGTTCACTCGCTAGTGGTTACCCCAACAGATTTAATCCTTGTGTTGAAACTTCAAAATAAAACACCTGATGTTTCCAACCAGGAAGTTAAATAGAAAAAGAAGTTTACACACTTTATGATACATGATTTTATTTACATAACTGAAATTATTTTCTTAGTCACCTTGATTTACAAAAGCAAATTAACGTGGTATGGTTTTAATAATCTTTCATAAATAGGTTTTACAAATTTTAATAACGGACAGATTGCTACTTCATACTTAGTGATACTTAATACTTAGCAACTTCTGCATATATGCATGAAAATGCTGATAGGACTAGTAGGTATGAGTACTTTTATAACTCAGGACTAGACAATTAGGTTATTAGTCAAGGGTTAATTCTTCATCACTAGGTCAGCCACTTTGGCCCAGAGTTCTCACCTTGCTGAGAACAAACCTGCTACAGAAACTCACTTATTGAGTAGGCATTTTTAATAATTTGAGTATTTATCCTTATTTAATAAGACTAGCATTAAGCGCATCTGGAAATAAAAAACCTCCAACTAGATATTTGTAAAAGAACTATTCATAGTGTATCTGAAAAATGGCTCCAACTTCAGCCCCATTACATCTCCAGTAAATGTTTTTCCAGTTCTTCTCTTGGTGTGTGTACAGACACACACACACACACACATACCACTAGGCTCCATCATATACTCAGCCAAGCCTTCTTGGCCACAAAAATGCCATAAATTTTACTACCTTTATGAAATGCCTATAAATGACAGTATTGTAATAAAACTGCAGTTAAGTCCTTTCACAGTGCTTTACATCTGAAGGCCAGGCTGTGTTTTGGTAGCCAGTCTTCCCCTGAAGTTACAGTGCTGAGACAAACAGAAGGGCAACCCGGACTTTCTGAAGGCTACTCCCTCCCCCACGATGGGAGGAGTGCAGTGTCTCCGACCACAAACAAGCAAAGAAGAATGACAAGAAGCTTATGAGTCGTGGTCAGAATCTAAGAAACAAAATGTCTTGCTATAGCAGCATTGTTACAAACAGGAAGAGTGGACACATGTACTTTTCACACAAGCTCTATAAGAGCCAGAACATGGTCTTTTCCACATCAGAACTGTAATCGGGGTGCAGCAGTCCTTGGTCAGTGCTACTTCTAACATAAGCTGAACAGTCCCTTTTACAGAGCACCAGCTCCGCCCACTCCTGAGATGAGCCACTGCTTTTTGGTGCTGGCAGCGCACTAAAGGTGGGGTGGGTTCACAGCAGCCACAGCTCTGCTGTCAGCACCACATGGATTGGAAGCCACTGCACTCCAACGCCCCTCCTGCATACTGTTCTTGACGGGTAGTGACCACTCAGTGATGGGGCAAATGTGTCTGTGAGCTCTCTTCCCCAACACTGCCTATCTACACAGCAAATATGGCATCAAATCTCTTCATTGTGCTAAATCTAAGAGTAATTTTAATCGTGATAAAAAAAATCAAATAGCTTCCTAAGAAAAGGTTTCTTTTAATCAAAAGAAAAACTTCTCAGGATCTCAAATGCTGAGCCGAGGCCTGTCCCAAGCTCCCTTTCCCACCTGAACCCTGGCAGGGTTTTGACACCACCACTAGGCTTTGCCAGGCTCCTGTTCTCAACAAGGACAGGTCGTTTGGGCCAGTTTTCTGCCTTGCTGCCTTTGTTGGGGGGAGTGTGTGCTTCAAGTCTAAATCTTGTTGCCTTGTTTGGTGGCAACCAGAAAAATTAAACAGATCAGGTAGTGAGTGAGGGACCCAAATGTGTGAGCACAGAGTGTGGTGATCCCTGATGAACACAGACCAGCACGGCCCTACCGAGGGCTGAAGAGGAATGCAGGACCTAAACACTGGACTCGGAACTCCCATCCAGAGCGCATCATCTGCTGGGAGAGAAAAACCACCAGCCAGTGGAAAGGGCACAGTGAGAGGCCAGTGGACGGTCTTGGCACGCTTCCTCTCCTTGTGAGTCCATTACCTTTCACAAAGAAATGTTAACTATCAAACGAGTCCGTTAATTGTGCCGCTGAGGGTGAAACCATCCAGTTAGCATATACACTATCATTTGCATATCTTGGACACCCAGTGTTAGTGCCATCGGCTCTCGTGAGTGGTACAGGACTCTCTTCAGGCCAGTTCGGGTCTGACATGCCTAAAAATGAAAACAGATCATTTGTTCTGCACTGAAGAACCAAAATTTCATGTGCAGACAGTAAGGCCTTGGCAAAACTCCCTTTGAGGTTCAAACCAAACTTCTGGTTCTGAGCCAATTACGTGAATGGTTTCATGCTCCAGGTTTCGAAAGCACGTATTTAGGGGAAATATCATGAGCTCTCTTGGTAACTGTAACTTAACAGATACTACCAATTTTGACTTTTATAAGCTTCAAACTCTCAAATCTTATATATATTTATTGACCTGCTTAACCCTTTTTCTTAGGCAGCATAAAGCATCAGCACATCACTGTATCCAGTGGCTTATTGCAGCGGGCAGCTTCTATGAAAAGTTCCCAAACATAAAGAAGCCTACTCTCTTCCACCCAAGTCTACCCTGGAGTAGAGGATCTTCCAGATCAAGGGTGCACACAGGTGAGTCCCACAGCGGCGACAGGACAAATGGCATGTAGCACTAGACCCAAAGCCAGCAAGGAATCCAGTGACTCAGGAGGCATGCAAAAGGAACACTCTCAGCTGAAAAATGCTTGAAACTCCAAGATTTCTTTCAAAAAACAATCAATGATGAGCTTAGAAAACAGAAAAAAATTTCAAGTATTTAATTGAAGACAAAAGAAGGAGTTTTGGCAAGAACCATCTGTACTGTCCATTTAAGACCACAGCACCACAGATTACGTTCTTTCAAAAAGCGTTTGCTCTAGCTTTTAGCACTGACTTCTAAGTGACAACTGTCATGACAGTGTGTAATGCAAAGGATGTGAAAACAGCTGCCTGCGTGTGACCTCCCCGGTGCCGGACATGTGGCTGGGCACCCGGCACCGAGTGGCCTCCACGAGCTGCCCGCCCACCCAGACCATGCTCTCCATGCAGGCAGGTAGTGCTGGCTCCTCCTGTTAAACTAAATGCCTCCCAAGACTGGGTAAGTGTATTCAGTAGTTAAATTAGAAGTACTATGACTTGATACCCACCCCAGAAATGACTTATTCATCATTTTCTCAACATCCCCTGAGTGTTCTGCCCTGCTCTCTTTATCATCTTAAATTGCTGGGCAGTATGGTAATTACACTTATTTTCACATCCTTTAAAAAGAACATAGTTGCAAAAATGCCTGAATGTAAACGGATGCAAAATCAGATATTACAAATAAAAAGGTTCAGAGTGGACTTTGGTTTCATTCAGACCAGAAAGAGTCTTAAAAAGCATTCCAGAGAGTAAGAATAGTGCAGAAAGGAACAGTGTTGCTAGAATCTAGTAAATGCATGTGAAATTCTACCATAGAGTTTGTTTTCAATCCACGTGGAGGGGAGGGTTCGAGGGAGGGGAGCATTATTACAGTCCACCAAGGGCATCTCCTCTTCTGAGAGGCCATCATCATAAAGCAGGGAGTCGGATGGGGTGGACGCGGCCAGATCCAAGTAGTCCTGGAACAGAGAGATGGCTGGTCACCACTCCCCCACGTGTGCCACTACTGAACATGCCCCTGGGCAGAAGCCCTGGCCATGTCCCATCCAATGCCAGCCTACTCGCTTCTCCAAGACATCTGAGCCCCTCACCAGATTACGAGCACTGAAGTCCCCCAGCCCCTTGCACCCCTGGGCCCTGTTCCATAGTCCTCATTACTTCCCCTTAGAAAGTCACCTTGGGGGCAGAAAGGCTCTCCTTTACTGTTCTGGTCCTATCTAAGCAACACTGGGCACTGGCATTGGGGAACCGGCCTCTTTATAAACCCCGAGGCTCTGGGATAGCTTCCTGCAGCCCCATTACTCACATAGAAGTGCCAAGACACTTCCCCCGACTGTTTCCCAGCCTCGTTCTAGGAAGGCTGTCCTTGGCATCAGCTATCACTTGTTTGGGGCGGCCTTGCCTTCACAGGATTTGGAGTTTTTGCCCAAGTGATACACCGATGTTAGGTTTTATTACAAAATGAAAGAGACCATGCCTCTTGCTTTTCCTGCTTTGAAGTTACAACTGTTGGTAAATGTGTATACATGAGGATGAAACATCTACGTAAACACCACGAGGGCAGAGTCTGTGCCTGTTGGTTTACTTGCATTCCCATGATCTCAGACAGAATATGGTGCACAGCAACTGCTCAATAAGTATTAGTTGAAACCGTGTCGACTTTCTCGTTTTCCTACAAAGCAGTAAACTGGAGGCACAACCACCAATGCAATCTCGCCTCCAAGAGCTGTTTTGTTTGGCCCACAGTGGGCTTTTGAAATTTAAATGAGCTAACATTAAACACTGAGAAATTTAACATAAATATCCTTCAAAGTCAGAAGACCTGACAGGCTGGAATTAATTTTCCTATAGATCACATGTAGGGTCCTTTAGAGGGGCTGATGTGCTACCCCCTAGTTATCACCCCTCTACCACCTGCCCCAAGCTAGGCCCCTTAGATCTGAATTTGGGACACTTATATCAACTCTTTCCTGTGATTTTGTTTGGCTTTGGACTATTTCCCTCATACACCTGTCGTTTGGGAACTCTTCCCAAGTGCCAACCTAAGGGTCTTGGTGTCTTCATGATTGAAAAGAAGCCCAAGGGGCCTGGTGCCTTCGGTGGTCAACATGACCATCTCCCCCTGCACAGCCTCGCTCTGCCCCTTAATTGGGACCTGGGTTGAGACTGGAAACCACCCCCCCACCGACACCCCACTGTCACATTCAGCCTGTCGGTAGCCCGCAGTGGGAATCTGCACTAGGTACTCACTCTTCTCTTAACCATCATCTTCTCCAGGTCTTTGCTGATGTCGGCAAACACTGGCCTCTTGTCTGGCTCCTGCTTCCAGCACTGCAGCATCAGACTGTACCTATTGGGAAGTGCAGACAGGTGGCTACGAGCCAGCAAGGACCACCTTGTCACAGCCACTACCCCGGCACAATGCTCTGGGCTGGTGGTTCTGTTCCCGAACCCCAGAGCAGTTTCTGCATTATTGACATCCTTCTCTGAGCTGGGCCAGGGTCTGAGGTGTCATTGTGAGCTCAGGGTGCCCAGTACTGTAAGATTCCCTTTTCTTGAGAGAGATTTGTTTTCAAGCCTCTTTCAGGGACACTGGTAAGTACCTAACAAGATGCCATACCCACTATGGTGGCTGAGTGGGAAATGCCAGTCCTTAAGACTCTCATGAAGGATAAACTACATGTGGAAACACACAAAAACTTCTGCCAATCACACCTGTCTTACACCTTTATCAGCTCCTCACTGCAGCGGCGCCCAGCATGGCTGCAAGGCCTCCAGGGCTGCCGTGTGAAGGCTTGTGCCCTTGGGCTGAAGTCTGGGCTCTGCCTGCCTACCCTTGCCTGCCTTCGCACCTCCACTTGGGTACTCCTCAATATATTCCCCGCCCCTCTCCAAATGACCTTCAGGCACAGGTCTCTGGCCTTGGGCTCAGCTGCTTTCTTGGTCTGAAGTGTGATCTCATCCTTCCCACCACCCCTTCCGAGGCTCTGCTCCCCTCGTCTTTGTAGGTCCCCAGGAAACCCACCAGCCTCCAGGAGAGCTGGACCCTCGGCACATGCTGCCATGCCCAAGGGTGGTTCTAACTTCTGCCTTGTCACTACACACCACCCAGCTCACTGCAGACAGGCACCCAGGGCTGCTCAGGAATGGAGAGGAAATAAGTAAGTGCATGTGCCCCGCCCTCCCAGCCCCAGATGTCTGAATGAGGCTGGGCCAAAGCAAAGCCTGCTCACATCTCCTCACTGCAGTTGTCAGGCCTCTCCATCCGGTAGCCTGTCTTCAGGAGGTTGAAGAGCCGCTCAGGAGGAATCCCAGGGTAGGGGTTGCCCCCCAAGGTCACAATCTCCCACAGCAAGACACCAAAGGACCACCTACAGGGAGAAAGACAACCAGTGAGCGACCACACCAGGCCTGCAGCGCCCTCTAGGAAGCTCAGACATCAGTCCTCCCAGCAGCTGTTAATCCAGCAGCTCAGAGCCCCCACTGCCACCTGCAGAGAGCAGGTCTTGGCCTGGGTCCCACTGCACCAATGGTTGCAGGATGGAGGTGGGGACAGCCATCTGCTGGCCTTGCCCCTGCTGCTCAGCCCCCACACCCACAAAGGGCACTGCACAGGCCTAGGCACTGGATCCCTGAAGCATCAGAGTTGGCCCAGAGCAGCCCAGCAAGTACAGCAAATGCAGGCTGGCCCCAGACCAGGGCCGGGGTTCCTGTTCCACTTCCTTCACCTTCTCTGTATGCTTAGAAATGTTCATAAAGCCTTAGAAGAAAAACAAAGCATTACTATAACAAAAAAATACTACTTAACGGTGAGGGAAAATTTACTGTAAAGTGGGAACAAAGTCATATCACAGAATAGCATATGACGTAAGCCCACTTACAGTGACAGAAAGCAAATCCCTGCCTACCAGAACAGAAGAAGGCCACCAGCAGTACTTAGGGGTGGCAGGATCCAGGTGGCTTTTAGTCTCTTCTTTATGCTTTACTTTGAATTTCCCAAATGTCTTATGGCCAACTTCCATAATCAGAAAATAGCTGTTTAAAACTGTAAGAACTGCCTTTTCACATCCCACATTATTCAAAATGTGCCCGTCTGTTAGTGGCAGAACACTGAAAAGAAATGAGCCTCTGTGCTTTTGAAAACCATCAAATCTGTTATTTCACCTGGATGGCTGAGTGTTGGTTTCTGTCTTCCAGCAGTTTGGGGCACACCAGCTAGAACTTACTCAGGGCCATTCCCACCTGCGGGACCTGTGGGTGGGGAGCAACCCCAAGGTCCCTGCCTGAGCCCAGTCCTGCTCAGGCTGCAGGAGAACTGTTTGGCTTGGTCTGTGGGTCACTAAGACTCCCACAGAAGGGAGGGGAGGGGGACAAGGCAAAGGTGAGGGGGATGCGCAGCCACTGCTCACCGCTCTCATGGATGTGACTGGACTTTCAGAACTACTGCTTGAGCCCTGGTCCTCTACTAAATGAAGACACCAAGCTCCCTCAGGTGGGGGAGTCACTGTGGGTGGTTGGCACGAGCTGACAGGCACTCAGGGCCAGTGCTGTTCCCCAGCTGAGCTGCCCAGACAGATGTCATAGTCCCCCTTCACATGTAACCTCTACCCTGGGAAGGCAACACCTGCACTTACACATCACTTTGGGTGGTGTAGATATGATCAAAAAGGGACTCAATTGCCATCCATTTGACTGGAATCCGACCCTAAAGAGGGAGTGAAAGAAGGCGTTAATGTTGCTGACGTCCTGGGAACTGGAGGAGGGGAGTGAGGAGGGGTGGCCTTGTCCCAGGCACATCCAGCTCTCGGGGATGATTAGTAATGACACCTAGAGTGCTCCTGGGTACAGAACTGTCAGCACAGCTTCGGAGGGGCCACTGACCCAGCCTGGTCCTCCCAGCAAGGCTGAGGCTTCAGGGGAGTCAGCTGGCTTGCCCCCAGGTGCACAGGGCTTGCTTGTCACACACCACATTCATGCTGACACTGAGCCCCAGCCAGATCTCCTGCGGCCACATCTGGGGAGCTCTGGGGTGCCCTGGGTGGTGCTGCCTAACTGGTGGGCCAAGAACACCATCCACCAAGATCTTCCCTGATTTCTGAAGGTGAACGACTTTGGGAAACTAAAATGTCCATGCAGACTAACACACTAAATGCTCTTCTGAGAAGCTGTCATGGAAGAAACCTGTTTATGTGCCTTGAGGCTGATTTTCCCCTTATTTTACACCAGGGCCCTTTTAGCACCCTCGGGGAGAGGCCCCCACTGCAGACCTAACAAATCTTTTCCAACACAACTTTAAAAAATTTCATTTTTCAATCACAGTTGACATTCAATGTTATATTAGTTTCAGGTGTACAGTATAGTGATTCGCCATTTATACACCCTGCAAAGTGATCCTACCAATAAGTCTAGTACCCATCTGACACCATACACAGTTATTACAATACAATTGACTTTATCCCGTGCTGTACTTATTATTGCATCCCAGAAATTATTTTGTAATTGCCAATTTTTACCTCTTAATCCTTTTATTTTTTTCACCCAGTCTTCCAACACCCCTCACATCTGGCAACCATCAGTGTGTTCTCCGTATATATGAGTTTGCTTCCATCTTGTTTATTACTTTATTGTTTTTTGGATTCCATATATAAGTGAAATCATATGGCATTTGTCTTTGTCCAATTTATTTCACTTACCTCAATACTCTAGGTTCATCCATGTTGTTGCAAGTGATAAGACTTCATTTTTTTTACTGCGGAGTAATATTCTATTGCATAAATGTACCAACTCTTCTTTATCCATTTGTCTTTTGATTGAAATACTTAACCCACTTACATTTAAAGGAATTATTGACAGGTATGTAGTTGTTGCCATTTTATTGTCTCCTGATTGTTTTTTAGTTCTCTGTTCCTTTCTTATTCTCCAGCTCTCTTCTCTTGTATGTTGATGACTTTCTATAGTGTTGTGTTTGCATTACTTTCTCTTTATTTCTTGTATACTTTTGGTTTGTGGGTACTATGTGCTTCATATATTCCATGCTATGTTTCTAGCCATCTATTTTAAGTTGTGGTCACTTAAGTTTGAACACATTCTATAATCACTACCATTTATAATCACCCCCTTCCATATTTATGCTTTTGTTATTTTTTACTTCTTTTGTGTGTTTGTGTGTATCCTTTAATTAACTGTGATAATGACATATGATCTTGCTACTTTTGCTTCTTAACCTTTGTGATAGCTTTGTGTTGGTTGATCTACTGCTCTTATTATGTGTTTGCCTTTGTCTGTGAGATTTTTTTTGAGATACTTAAAAATTTTTTTTCTTCTTCTTAAAGAAGTTTGTATTAACATTTTCTTGTAATAATGGTTTCCTGGTGATAAACTCCTTCAGATTCTTGTCTGGTATGTTCTTTATCTCTTTCTATTTTAAATGATAGTTTTGCTGGGTAGAATAGTTTTGGTTGTAGGTCCTTGCTTTTCATCACTTTGAATATTTTGTACCAATCCTTTCTGCTCTGAAATGTTTCTGTTGAGAACTCAGCTGCCAGTCTACTGGAACTACCTTGTAGGTAACTAACTGCTGTTCTCTTGCTGTTTTTAAGGTTCTATGTTTTTAAACTCTCACATTTTAATTATGATGTGTCTTGGTGTGGACCTCTTTGGGTTCATCTTGTTTGAGATTCTCTGCACTTCCTGGACTTGTGTCTCTTTTTCCTTCACCAGGTTAAGGAAGTTTTCAGTAATTATTTCTTCAAATAGGTTTTCAATCCTTTACTCTTTCTCTCCTCCTTCTAGTACCACTAGTATGTAGATGTTGTTATGCTTAATGTTGTTCCAGAGGTCCTATCACTTAAACTCTTCATTTTTTTGAATTCTTTTTTTTTCCTGTTCTGATTGGGTGCTTTATTACCTTGTATTCCAAATCACTGATTCGACCCTCTGCTTCATCTAATATATCATTGATTCCATTTAATGCATTCATTTTAGATACTGTATTGCTTATTTATGACTTTTGTAATGGTTTACTAAGATAATCTATTCTTCCCCTAAGTTCATTGAGCATCCTTATAACGAGTGTTTTGAACTCTGCATCTAGTAGATTGCTTGCCTCCAATTTGCTTAGTTTTGGTTCTGGAGTTTTGTACTGTTCTTTCATTTGGGACATGTTTCTTTGTCTCCTCATTTTGGCTGCCTCACTGTGTTTATTTCTATGTAGTAGATAGATCTGCTATGTTTCCCAGTCTTGGCAAAGTGGGCTTATGTAGTAGGTGTCCTGTGAGGCCCAGCGATGTAGTCTCCCTGTTTACCTGAGCCAGATGCTCTTGGGCTATCCCTTGTATGGGTGTGTGTCCTCCTGTCGTAGTTGAGCCTTGATTGCCATTGGCATGTCAGTGGGTGGAACTGACCTTCATGCTGACTGGCTGTGAAGACTGGCCATTACAACAGTGGATAAGCTGTTGTGTGGGGGTTGATCCCAGAAGTGAGATTTGCTATAGTGAGGCTCAGATGCTTTTTGACCCCACCTTTTGGGTGTGATGTTTGTAGTGCTAATTGTGCGGTATTCTGGTGTGGTCTGAAGCCAGCCACTGGGTGTGTTGGTTTGGGGGCCTCTTGGGAAGGTTTCCAGTGCAGGCCAAGGTTAGCTGCTGCCTGTGTCTGGCCCAGGGCTACCTGGAAAGAACTATAATGTGATTTTTTTGGTTGTTAGCTGCCTGTTCCGGGCTTGGAGGTGACTGGGAGTGGTTGTGCTGTGGACAAAGGCCAGTTGCTACTACTGCCAGGCTTGGGGCCACTTAGCAAGAAGTATGGGGCATACTGAGGTCAGATGCTTTTTGTTTGGGGTGTGTGGACCCTTAAGAGATTTTAGAAAATCCCAGTGCAAACCCAGGCCATCAGCTTGTATAGATTAGCCTCTGAAAGAGATTCGGGCCAGGTAGAGTGTAAGAGAATCATTAGGGTGGGGTGGAAGCATGTTAGCCTGGTTAATGGAGACGCAAACTTTGTGCCCAGCAGCACTTGTAGGCTGGATTGGAGGAGGGCTCAACAAAGAAGCAATGGCACCTGCAGGTACTCTGTTCCAGGAGAGAGGTGCCCTTCCAGTCCTTGCTCCAAAGCCAGATAATTCAGTTCCTCCCTGCTTGTCGCTGGCACTTTTTATGCTGCTGTCCCTTTCCTGGAGCTTAGCGAGAGTGTTTATGAGCAAGTGAGTCTGTGCTTGGGCCCTTTAAGAGAACACCTGGGTCTGCAGCAACCCTTCATCTCACCTGGACAGAATCCCTGCTGATTTTCCCAGCCAGAATTTGTGGGGACTCCTCTTCCCAGCTCTGGTATTCTGGGCTGGGAAGCCTGGTGCAGGGCTGGGACCTTCACTCCTCTGCAGCTGAGACATCCCTCTTGATTCTGAACTGCCACATATAGGTGTGAGACCAGCCTGTTTTATATCTCTGCGCTCCTACCACTCTTGAGGTGGCTACTTCTTTATATTTGTGGTTATAGTTCTGTTCATCAGCTAGTCTTCAGGTGTTTCTGAAGGGTGGTTGTTCTACACTTTAGTTGCAATGTTGATGTGGTAGTGAGACGAGGTGAGCAGAATTTACCTGCTTCGCCATCTTGACCAGAAGCATCCCTGGCGCCACTTGGTAAGCAGCTTTTCAGTAGGTATATCTTTAGGCACAAATCAATTAAAAAATGTGTGCAGTGGATTTTAATGCAGCATTTACTGTCATTCCTTTTTCTTTAAAGTGTTCTTTAGGATTCATGTCCTTTAGGATTCAAGTGCGCCTGTTTCTGGGGCAAGCGTTTGTCACCTGCAGCCTGTGCTCTCCGGGCCGTTTGAACTCCTTGTGCTTCTCTGCTCTGTGACACCAGGCCTTCTTGAAGGATCAGTGTGACAACAGGAAGGCTCTTTCCACATCCCTCCACAGGGTGGAGAGTCGCCCCTGTCCACTTCCCCTTTGGCAATACTGAGATATGCTGTCACAGCAGAAACCTCAGAAGAAATGATTCATCATCCTCATGGCCTGTGGCAGCACAAGGGTTCTCCTCATCTCTCAGAGCAAAGCTGAAGTATATGAAGTTGCTTTTTGTGTCACTTTCTTTGAGCAGCATCTGTGCTGCATGTAAGGTCAGCTGTGACTCTTGAAAGGTGTGTGAGCTGGCCTGTCTGGTGTGTGGGAGGGAGGCTGCAGGAGAGGGGCCTAGCAAGCAACTGAACCAAGAGGGCCAAGACCAATGCCACAGGAAACTTGGCAATGCCATGGGTCAGATTTCCCCAGAGGGGACCCAACCAACTATTTCAGAGATTTGCAGAAAGGTTTCGAGAGCCCTCTGCTGAGTCTCTTGACCTCATTTCTAGGCCCTCCTTGCGCCTTCCCAACTCACCCAGGCTCCCATCCCATCCTTCATTCCCTTCTATAAAGAATGGCCACTTCACTGTCCTCTGGGCAAAGAGCTGAATCACACAGAAAAGAAACAGTGACCTTCATTCTGTAGAAGGGAGCAGGACACTGTGGAGAAGTGGATGGCTATTTCTACAGCATGAGGTGACATTCAAAAGTGATAATGATTAAAAGCAAGAGAAGCTTCGGACCCCGGCTCTCCAGGGGCCATCTCTGAAAGGGCGGGTGTGGTCCTTAGGAAGAGAAGGAACAAACCTGGGGATCAGTCCTGAAATGGGTCTCTGGAGACCCAAGATCAGGGAAGGATTTGGTGATGAGAGCTAAAAGTTTACATTCTGAAAATCCACTTTATCCTCCCCAGGTATTCTAAGAGATTTGCTCCCACCCTCTGGGCACCCTGGCTGCTGCCTCCACCCAGCCCAGGGCCACAGGCCAGCACACCCCAGGACCTGGTACCTTGCTCCTCTTCACATAGGAATCCTCTTCATATACATCCCGGGACAGACCAAAATCCGAAATCTTCATCTTCCGCCCCTCGGCAACTAGGACGTTTCTGGCTGCTAAGTCCCGATGGACGAGCTGCAAGGAAGACAATAGCAGGGACCCTAAAACCCCAGGCCCCTCAAAGGCAGTGGGGGTGCTGGGCTGCAGCAGCACACACCTTCATCTCAGCCAGGTATCGCATTCCCCGGGAGATCTGCCAGGCGAAGGAGATGAGGTCACCCATGGTCAGGGCCCGCTCATCTGGGTTGTCCAGGTAGCTGGAGTTGCGGCTGCCCCTGCTGCCCACGTAGCCAGGCCCTGCCTTGCGGCTCTCTCGCAGGAAGCCCCGAAGGGAGCCGTACTTGGCATATTCCACGATGAGGAGAAGTGGCCCTGGGTGCAGAGGGGGCCTGTGGGCTGGCTGCCTACCAGGCCCTGGGCAGGCAAAGGTCAAGCCAGCTCTGGGAGCCCTCATGCAGCACAGGAAGACGGGATGCAGGCCCCTCAGGGCAGCTCCACACCCTACCAGTAAGTAGGTAGGTGGGCACAGCCCTGCTCTGGGTGGCAAGTGCCTGAGTCCCAGGCAACTCCAGGACTTAAATCCCAGCTTATTCTCATTATCACTTGCTCTCCACCCTGCGAAGTCCGTGCTGAAGCCCCTACCTAGGTGGTTGAGTATGACCTTATCCTAGGGTGCCCAAGGCACCCAGCTGCTGCACTCAGTGCTTCCTGGGGATGCACCCTAGCTGCTAGGATGTCAAGCCTTTCTGCATCTCTAGTCCTGCCACAGCACGGCCTGAGAATGACTGACGGAGGCAGAGGGTCTGGATCACACCTGGCCCTCCTGCTTTCTGCTCCTGTCCACTCTCAGCAGCTCTTGGTTACCGTCCTGTCCCAGGACCAGGCCTGGGCTCTGCAGGTGCTGCACGCTCCCTGCTAGCTCCCTGTCCCCTCACACCCCCAACACATACAACACACACCACACACACAACACACACACATGTGTACAAACATCGAGAAGCCCCCAGCAGCTGGTCTCCTCTGTCCTTATGTCATGCAGGGCTTTGACATGCAGGGCTGGGATGACCTGGAGTTCATAGCATGCCTAATCCCCAGGAGAGGCCTAGGAAGACACCATCCATTTCTGGAGTTCCCCGCCCAGGGCCTCTGCCTGGAGCAGGGTGCTAACAACCAGAATGTTAACAGAAACCTGTGGGCAGCCCCAGCAGGCCTAGTTCTTCCAGAGCTGCGGTCTCATTAAGCACTCCTGCAGAACTCCCCTCCCCCCCAACCCTCTCACTGACCCAGGAGGCTCTAGGTCAGGGCTGGAGCCACAGACTATGCTTCCAGGAGGGCAGAAAACAGGGGCCAGAGAAAGAGAGGATGGGGAAGGGGGAGGAAGCCCAGAGCTCCCGGCCTGTGCCAGGCCTCACCATCCTGGCTGCAGGCCCCATATAGCTTGATGACATTGGGGTGGTTGACCTGCTTCAGGAGGTTGAATTCTGACAGTAGGTCCCGCAGCTCATTTGGAGAGGCGTTCTCTGAAATGCACATAAACAGAGAAGGTTGCAAACCCATCCCTTCTGGAAGCCCCTTCTGTGACCATGCAGTCACATTACCCCATACCAGGATTCTGCAAAGACCCGCTATCTCCTTCTCAGACACCCTCCCAAAAGATCCCAGAGCTTGGGGCTATGCACAGTCTTAGGTTGGTCAACAGTGGCCTTTTCTGCCTCCAGGGAGTAAGAACTCCAGGAGCCAGACTTAAGTAGGAGCTCTCGGGGGACAGCCTCCTAGGGCTGGACTGTGTGTAAATAGCATTATTTCCTTGTAATTTCTATCTTTCAAAGACAACAGTGCACAGTGACCCCCTCATTAATCCTTTTGGAAAGGTAAGGGGACTCCCTGATGTCCCCAAACACCCAATGACCAAGCACTCAACAGTCAGGGGGAAGGCAAAGAACAGATTTCACAGAAGTCCTTGGCCATGAGGAGGACATGCATCCTGACTGTGGGCAGAGCTGGGTTTGGGCTCCTACTGGGAGCCTGTTGTGGAGGTATTTTGAGTCAGAAGCTGTGGCTAAACCGTCCTCCTGAGTCAATGCTCCATGGCCCACTGCCCAGCTGTGCCAATGACTGGCTGCAGACTTGTCTGAAAGTGAGATGAAGCTTCAGGAATCAGGATCCCCTGTACCATACACAGGAGGCCCTGGGCTGGCCTCACTGTGCCCCCTTAAGGAGTGGAATCTCTTAGGTAAAGGGTGATCCCAGTTTGAGGGCCTGGGGATGCGTCTAGAAGCACTGTATTGTGGGGCCCCTAACTGCTACACTAGAACTCTTGTGTGCACCAGCCAACTCCCGCCTACCACACTGCTGCTGGGACCCTGGTCAGTCCACTTGAGCAGAGCCCAGCCATGGCAGAGGGCCATATGACCAATTTCTGTGGAGAAACCTTGGTTTCTCCAGGAAGCACCCTGACCCAGGTCATCTACGGTGGGTGGGGATCCCCAGAGTGCAATCATTCAAGAACCATGGGAAGCCCTTGAGGAGGTGCTAGGATAGCCGCCAGCACCCTGACTGTCAGGAGGCTGCATCCACCCCTTGGGGCTCCTGCAGGAGTGCATGGCAGGTGTGCTGCCTCAACAGGTACCTTTCAGCATCTTCACAGCCACAGTCGTGTACCCCGCTTTGCCTTTCAGCCGGAAGGCTGTTGCCTCAACCACTTTTCCAAATTCGCCTTCTCCCAGAGTTTTTCCAAGAACCAGGTTCTTCCGAGGGAATTCCCATTTTGGATCCTCCTACATTGGGGTTGGAGAGAAGAAGAGAGAGGAGGAAGATGGTGAGGGTAAGAGAAGAGGAACAGGCAAGCCCCATGAGCAAGCCCCGTGGACGAGCTCCAGTGTGCAGAGAACTGACCGTGATCTGATCAGTAGGTGACAGCCACTCACGTCTGTAAGGGCAGCAGGAGCCCACAGCTGGGCCCCGAGGTGCCATTCCATGACAGTCTCTACCATGGCAAGGCTAGTTCTGCCACAGACTGGCCTGGACTCTCTCTGGATGCCTGTACCCTTACTGATTGCAGTTTACAGAACATGCGCTGGGCCATTTCTCAAATGAGGTGTTCAAGGCTTACTCAGCACAATAGATGCTCATGTGGGAACAGGGCCTCTTTCCTGGTAGTTAGACCCAATCTTCTCGGCACTGCCTCTCCTTCGAGCAAGGCCCACAAGGCACTGACTGGGCTGTACCAGGTCCTAGTGTGTGCCCTCTCCAGAGACGTCTAGGAACCCCATGAGGAATGAATTGGCATCAGTGGCCCAAGTGGCCTCCCAGGCCAGGACCCCCATTTATAGGTGGAAGTGTCCAGGGAAACTTCCCTGAGTACCAGTCCTTGACAGGTACCACTGTGCTCCTGGGGAACCTCCACCCCGTGTGTGGAAGAGGCTACTCCTCCCACGGAGCTGGCCATAACCCTAAACTTGCACACAACCTGCTTACCATGCTCTCTTTCACACACACCTCGTCTTCCTCCTGAAGTCTTGTCCACATACTCAAGACCACTCTAGGATGCCTTGCCAGACATTCAGCTTGGCCTGTCTACTTGAATCCTGACTGGGGATGCCAAAGCCTGTCCGGAACCTCCCCTCCCAAAGTCTCTCTGCAGCTGGGCATGGATATGTTCACTATGTGCCCTACAAGGTTAGCCTAGCCCACAGAGATGACACCACTGGAAACTCACTGCCCCTGAATGACCAGAGCCATGCTTTCTGATGTCTGGGTGCAGAGGCAGCCGCCTCTCAGCACCATGGCCAGGGACACCTTCCAGCCAGCTCCAGGGGGCATCCTGGGGGTGTCTCAGGTTCCCTAGGAATCCACAGTCAGGGTCAGAGTTGACAACATCGTCATTGGTGCTCTCATGTCCTCATTGGATAACTTCATTTACTATACAGAGACCATACTGAGCATATGTGGCTATCACTAATTTGATCCTCTTAAAAATATTAAATGTCATCCTCCCTACTTAATATACACTCAAACTGAGGCTGATCAGTTGAGTAACATGTTTGAGACCTCAGAGCTGGTCATTGTGGCCCTTGGGTCTCAGGCTGGGCTCTGGTCACTCTGCTTCTGGGCAGGAGGTGATGTGGGCCAAGGTGGTGTGTGTCCCCTAGCACGAGCACCCATCAGCCCTGCTCTTGCACTGGGCCTCACTGCAAACTACCGGAGTATATAAAGGAATCATAAGATTCATCCCAGAGGCCTATTGTGGAAGCTGAGATGCTGCTGGGCTGGGGTTGCAGATCCTCCACCTGCTGAATGACTGGAAACAGGAAAGCTGGGAGGGAGGCTGCAGTGGCTAGTGCTGCTGAGAACAGTTTCCATGGCCCAGACCCTCACTAAGGGGCAAGCACACCGGGGAGCCTCCTCCTGCAAACCCCAGCTACCTTACATGGCCCCTGGATGCTGAGCTTCCTGCTTGAAGGTCCACACACTGAGCTCTCCCTTCCCAGTCTCGTGATGGGACTTCTATTCCCATGCACCCTCCACTCTGAGCACTTACCTCAGTCTCTCTCAAAACCTGGCTTCCAGCTCTTCAGACAGTTCCCAGTGAGAATGCTGAAGGGCTACTGCAGGCTGAGTGGAGGCCTGGCTGGTAAGGCGGCTCTGAGGGGCACACGGCGACCACAGACCCAGGTCCTCCCACTGAGAAGGGGACTTGGAAACCTCCTGGCTCTGGTCAGCACTCTCTATCAGCTGGCTGGTCACAGCCAAGAGGCCTGGCTCCACCAGAGGTGCCCTCCGTGCCACAGGCGGATGCCCCTTCCTGTTGCTGCCACCTCGGCTGAGCCCCTGCCTGCTGCCATCTCTCACCTGGATGGGGACCGCACCCACCACCAGGCTCCCACTTCTGCACCCACCCTATAGGCTCCTCAACAGAGCATCCTATGGAAATGAAGGTAGATCATAAGCTTTCTGTGTTCAACTCCCAACCTCCAGGAGGCCCACCGTCTGAGAAAAATCCGCACTCCTCCGCAGCTCCCTAAGCCCTGGGCATCTGCAGGCGTAGCGGGGACTGCCCTCACCGCATCCGGGGCCCACCCTCAGCCCGGCTGAGCCGCACGCATCAGTCTCCTTGCTAAACCGCCTCTGCGCTGCCCTCCCAGCCTCTGCCCTGGAAGTGTCTCGGCGACGGCAGGGGTGCTGGAGCGCTCACAGCAGTGCGCGGGCTGCGGGACGGCCTCCACGCCCCCCCCTCCGTAGCTCCCAGAGGCTGCTGGGCAGGGGTGCTGGAGCGCTCACAGCAGTGCGCGGGCTGCGGGACGGCCTCCACGCCCCCCCCCCCTCCCGTAGCTCCCAGAGGCTGCTGGGCAGGGGTGCTGGAGCGCTCACAGCAGTGCGCGGGCTGCGGGACGGCCTCCACGCCCCCCCCTCCGTAGCTCCCAGAGGCTGCTGGGCAGGGGTGCTGGAGCGCTCACAGCAGTGCGCGGGCTGCGGGACGGCCTCCACGCCCCCCCCCTCCGTAGCTCCCAGAGGCTGCTGGGCAGGGGTGCTGGAGCGCTCACAGCAGTGCGCGGGCTGCGGGACGGCCTCCACGCCCCCCCCCTCCGTAGCTCCCAGAGGCTGCTGGGCAGGGGTGCTGGAGCGCTCACAGCAGTGCGCGGGCTGCGGGACGGCCTCCACGCCCCCCCCTCCGTAGCTCCCAGAGGCTGCTGTCCCTGCAGGGCCTCCGGGAGCCCCACATGGAACCTCACCGGGATCTTGAAGGCGTCCACAGAGACCTGGTTTTCCATGGAGTCCAGTGAGGGCCGGCGGGCACTGGACGAGGAGTAGCTGACCGGGAAGGCCTGGGCCGGCCGGCGGAACGTCATCTCGGCCGAGGCGATGGGCGGCTTGTGCGCGTTCTTGTGGTAGCGGTGAATGCAGAAGGTGGACAGCAGCACGGAGATGATGAAGGAGAAGAGCACGGCCGCCGCGATCACCATGCGGCACAGCTCGTCGCACAGCGGGTCTGTGGGCAGGGCGGCCTTGAGGAACACTCCGGGAGCTCCCGAGTCCCGACCCAACCGGGCGGCAGGCACAGCTCTCCAGCCTGCCTCGCCCACAGCAGCTGGGGTAGCTGCTGGACAAACTGCAAGCAGCCGGGCAAGTGCTGCTGGGTGAAGGTGTGAGCACACTGACTGCCAGCAGGTACTGCTGCAGGGGCTCCCCTATCCCGGCACTGCGTCACCTTCTCCCGGAAGGGACGAGAGAGGCCCAGAGAGTGTCAGCAGCCTGCCTGAGGCCACACAGCAGAGGCGGTGCATTCACTGCTTCAGCGTGGGAACCTGCCCTGCAGTCAGCTGGCCCTGGAGAGCTGTGGGGAGGTCAAGTTCTTCCTCTGTGTTCCCAGCCTTTTGTTTTTAATAAAAAGTATGGAGGGAAGGAGAGTGGCTCAGGACCTAGGGCCATTCAGTAACAACTCAATGATCAGAGGAGTGTCCCTGGGCTCAGGCGGGAAAGCTCCCCATGTGCTCAGTGGGGCCCACTGCCCGCTGCACCTGCTGTCCCAGGAGTTCCTGGAGGCTCTGGCTGGGAGAGTGGGTCCCAGGTGGACAGTGCCGGGGCCCCAGCCGAGGCCCCACAGAAGGACAATCCGAGCAGGCACTAAGTTATATAGTGAAAGAACTGACCCTCTAGCCCAATCTGCCGTGGAGCTTCAGACCATGAGGCCCTGTAGAGGCCCCAACCCAGCTCCCTGTCTGTGGGGATGGGGGAAGAGAGGCCCAGGGGGAAGGAGGAGGGTCTCCCAGGTTTCAACTATCTTCCTGCAGTTTCCTCCCTGGCTTGCAGGGAGGCACAGGGGGCCCTGCCCAAATGTGGCCCTCCCCACTCACCCTGGCTGTCTTCAGGCTCACAGAAGCACTTTTTCTCCTCAGGGAAGCAGTTGCAGGTACCAAAGCCAGCTTTAATGCCCCAGCGCTCCCCTGGCTCATGCCCACCAATGATGCTGCCCCCTGGTGACAGAGGAAGCCTACTCAGCCTCCTGGGTGACCCGACAAGCCAGGACACCCAGACAGGAGAGTGGGAGGTCCCTCCTTGCCTGCCTGATATCAGCTGCTCAGGCCCGGGGTGGGGGGAATGAACTCAGAAGTCTAGGTCATCTGGACAAGAGTCTCAGCATGACCTGCCCCTGGTCACAGTGAGCAGGAGGAGGAGCCCACAGGCTGCCCCGGGCCCCCGCCGAAGTCTACACACGCTTGCCTTTCAGAAGCAGAGAAGGGGCAGCAGGAATGATCAGCAGACCGGAGGGCAGAAAGCTGCACCCCTGTGGGTTGGCCAAGGTGACACTGGAGTGTGGGTCAGGTCACCAGGTTCCAATTTTGGTGGTGGTGGTGGTGGGGGGTGTGCTCAGAGCTCTTCACTCAAATGAAATGTTAGAAAAGGCTAGGCACACAAAACCCAGGAACACGGCGGATCCAGCTGAAGTGCAGGCAGCTGTCCAAGCCTCTCCCACTTGCTACCCCACCTGCCCGGGGCCCTGTCTCAGCTTAGGTTGACCGGGCAGGCCCAGTGGGTGCTTACGGAGGCAGTCCTGGGGGCAGATGTTGGGATTGCTGCTCTCCACAGCATCACAGTGGCTGTCAGGGCAGGTCTTGATGCTGGGGGAGCAGGTGGAGAAGTTCCTGGAGATCCCTGTAAACACACAGTGAGCTGGTCACCGCCTTGTGGGAGCACCACCCTGGTCAGACTTTCAGAGTCAGGACGGTGGTACCACAGGGCCTTTAGGGCCAACCCTGCCCCTCCAAGACCTGAGCAGCTCTGGCCGGTGGCTCAGTTGGTTGGAGCATCGTCCCATACACCAAGAGGTTGCAGGTTCGAATCCTGATCAAAGCACATACCTAGGCTGCAGGTTCATTCTCCAGTTGGGGTGTGTATGGAAGAAAACCAACCAGTGTTTCTCTCTCACATTGATGTTTCTCTTTCTCTCACTTTCTCCCCTTTCCTCTCGCTCTCAAATCAATAAAAACATGTCCTCGGTGAGGATTTTAAAAAAATCACCCATGCCCAGCTGGTGTGGCTCAGTGGTTGAGTGTCGACCCATGCACCAAGAGGTCACTGGTTCGATTCCTGGTCAGGGTACATGCCCAGGTTGTGGGCCCAGTCTCCAGTTGGGAGATATACAGGAGGCGGCCAATCGATGTTCTCTCTCATCGATGTTTCTATCTCTCTCCCTCTCCCTTTCCCCCCTCTCTAAAAATCAATAAAGAAAAAAAAGTCACTCACACATGCAGCCCCACCAACAGGGCCATCCCAAGAAGTGCTTGGGGATCCCAAATGTACAGGGGCAGCCTGTATGGTGAGAGATGGAGGGGCCGGGCCGTCCCGGGGCTGTGCCAGCCTCACATCCAGACCAGGAGAGGCCAGACAAAGCCAGGCCCCTCTCAAGGCTGCACCACAAGAGGGACCCTCATAATGGTGGGTGCAGCTTATAGTTGGCTGCTGTTCACATCTAAGCCAGTTTAGGCCCTTCCTGCTTGGGGATACACTCCCTGGCCTGGCACCTCTCAGTAGAGCCTCTTCATCCCCTGCACATCCCAGCTTTGGCCTAGACCTTCTCAAGCCCAAAGAGAGTCTAGCCCTAAGCATCGTTGTTCCCTTGGCAATGAACAGCCTGAATGTCCTCATGCTACCCACACCCTGAACTTGGGAGCACCTCCTGGCATCAGGAGCTATAGGTGGGGACAAACCTTGGGGAATAGATCATGAGTGAGAAAGGCACACAGAGACCCCACTTCCACTCAACCTTCATCACCCCTCTCAAGTGCCTGGCCAGCCGCAGGCCCCTGCTCTGTGTGCGGCCTACCTTTGCCATCTCCCTGTCTCCACTCGCACCTGCCCGTTGGAGAGCCCAGGCCGCCGCACTCCTCACACTCAGGCCGCCTCTTGCTGACTGCACAGGACAAGGGGCAGCCTGGCTCCTCAGCCATGTCTGGGGTGGAAGAAAGCAGGTTACAGGGGGCCAGCCTGGGCCCAGTGTCCAGCCAGTACCCATGGACAGGGGCAGCACTGGCTGAGCTGCCCCCATGGGTCAAGTCCAGAGGGGAGGGAGTAACTCAGCACCAGCTGCAAGGGAGTGATGGGGCTGCTGGGAAGGGGGTGGTATCACAGTCACAAACAGGAGACAGCTATTGGGCTGGGACAGTGTGGAGGGAGGATGTGAGGTGGCCAGAGATGGCCAAGGACATAAGGGATGCCTAGTTAAACCTGAGTTTCAGATAAACCGTGAATAACCTGCTTTGTGTAAGTATGTCCCTAGTATTTCATTGACGTACCTAAAAATCTGTCTTCCAAGAGACTCTGCAGAGGATGCATGGGGCATCCACTAAAAATCTAAAACTCAAGCTTAACCAGGATGTTTTTTTATCTGGCAGCCCCCCTGCAAGTGCACGTGTGGGGTGCACTGACGGCAGTGATGGGAGCGCCCTGTCTACTCCGCAGTCTCTGGGCTGGGCTGTTCCAACTCCCGTCATCCTTCCAGCTCAGCTACGTGGCATGTGGTTATTCTCATTTTATAGGAAGGAAACTAGGGCTCAGGGAAGCCCCAGTCTGTGAGAGGGATCAGGATCGGTCCCTTGTATGGGAAGGGGGGGACCCACAGCAATTTCATGTCCCATCCATCCCCAGAACTCACAGGTCCCCTCCATGGTGACAAGCAGTGGTGCCTGGGCCTGCCTGTGGGTTGACTGGTCGGTGGCCACCACTGCGTACTGGAGCTGGGTACACTCAGGCCGCCGCAGGGCCTCGGTGTCATTCACGAACAGGATCCCTGTGGTGTCCTCGGCCGAGGTGACCACTCCCAGAGCGCTGCAGTTGGCACTGGAGAGCTGCAGGTCATATTGCACGTGGATGCCAGTGAACTGCTGGCAGTTTTCCACGGAGACTTTCCCAACCTAGGGTGGGGCAAAGGGAATGCCTTAGCTGGGTGGCTGGACATGCCAGACAGGCTTGTGAGGGGGGTTAGAGACTCCCTGGCAGTCCAAGTCTTGGAACAGATCCCTGCTCACCTGGGAATGGCAGCACCCCTGACCTCCCCATCCTCCGTGCCCCGCCCACCCTCCGGCCCTGCCTTACCCCGGCCATCACACCGCCATCCACCCTCTTCCAGGAGCAGAGCACCAGGTCTGGTTTAGCAGCGGGCCTTCCGGGAAGGGCTGCCGCGCTGGCTCTTTCCTCACTGGCTCCCTCGTTCAGGTACAAAGGCCGACTGGCTCCGTCCTGAGCACCACCCTCACTGCTCTGGCCAGGCGTTTTGCCCCAGGGACCACCAGTTCCTGTCCTCACTGCATGTAGTTGGGATGGCCCACGCCTGCCTGGTCACCCTCCTGGGCAGAACACTGTACCCAAGCACATGATCATGCAGAGTGATTGCCTGTCTCACAGAGGACAAGAGGCCTTCCTGGGGCTTTGGCTGAAACCCCTGGGAAAGGGGAGCTGCACTGTGACCTACCACCACCCTCGGCCCCTCTATGAAAGGCTAGCGTGGGGGCAAGTCAGGAGCTGGATGAAGAGGACACCCCCCCTTCCTGTGTTGGACCCAGGGGCTGCCGGAAGTGAAGGTGGCATGGCAACCAACCACAGAAACTGCCACTATGACAATGATGGATGGCCTAACCATCCATAGCTACTCCATCAGGGGGAAGTAGTGTGTGAAATCCAACGCCTGCTATAATTTCAATTGAACTTTAAAAAGCCTTTACAACAAACATTCTAGAAAGAACTGTTCCAAAATGCCAAATGCTGTTTGATTCTATTTTGACAAATACCCACTAATACTGACTACTCTTACTTTTCTTTTCTTTTATTTATTTATTTATTTAATCCTCACCCGAGGACATTTTCGCATTTATCTTCGGATAGAGTGGAAGGGAGAGACAGAGAAAGAGAGAGAGAGAAACATCGATGTGAGAGAGACACACTGAGTGGCTGCCACCCACACGATCCCAACCAGGGCCGGGGATAAACTGCAACCAAGGTACGTGTCCTCAGCAGGAACCGAACCTGGGACTCTCTGGTCCGCGGGCCAACACTCCAACCACTAAGCCAAACCGGCCATGGCCTAACTACTGTTATTTTTTCCACTTCTAATCATTCTGTTCCTGTGGCAAATGGAAATGTACTTGCAGAAGTCAGGTGGCAGAACACCCCATCTCTCCCTGCCCCCAGCAGGGGGCACTACTGGTAACAATGCCCATCCATGAAGATTTGCTTTTGAAAGTGCACAGTCACATGACACCAACATTTCTGCAAACCACTTTTTCAGTGAACAACCCACCAGGAATGCCTTTCTGTCAGCATACATATATTTAGCTGGTGTTACTTTTACACTAGTACAAAACATGCCTTATAGATACTGAGAAGAGAAAGGAAAAAATGAAAGATACTGAGAAGGGATAGGTCCTGGGCCCTTCCATGTACTTACTACCCCAGGAAGCGGGTGTTACCCACTACCAGCCTGGCTTGCAATGTGCTAGACAGAGTGCCCCACCCTGGGGAGTGCCCCATTCTGGCAGTGGGCTGAGGGCTCACCTGGGCAAAGTGGTGGGCCCGCCTGCTCACAGTGAAGGAGTAGGCGCTGGGCAAGCGCAAGCTGACCGGCAGCACAGACACGTTGAAGTGGAGGAGGAGGGTGCCCTCTCCCAGGCCCTGGAAGTCGGAGTCGTTGACCAGCACAGCCAGCTGCAGGGCATGGCTCTCCGAGATGGGGAGGCTGCGGTTAAGAACCAGCCCTGCGGGTGGGGGCATGGCGATCACTGCCCCACGCCACTGCATGCCTCCTTCCAGATACATACACTGCCCGCACATGCACATGGGTAAAAACACGTAGCTTCACACACACAGTGCACAGATAACAGGCCTGGCAGCTGGCAATAAGAACCACTACTTAAATGTTAGCTGTTGTACTAAGCTAGAGATCCAGAGAGCCCTTCTCAGAGGGAAGTAACATACACAGGTAATATGTGTGTGTGTGTCATGTTTGTGTGTACGCAGGGTATGTATGCATCTGTATGTGTGTGAGGGTATGTGTGTGTGGAGTGTGTGTGTATGGAGGATGTGTGTGTGTGGATTTACGATGTGTGTGTGTGTGGAGTATGTGTGTGTGGGAATGTACGGTGTGTGTGTATGGAGTATGTGTGTGTGGGGTGTGTGTGTATAGGATGTGTGTGGGATATACGGTGTGTGCATATGGAGTATGTGTGTGGGGTGTGTGTACAGTGTGTGTATGGGGTGTGTGGGGATGTACAGTGTGTGCATATGGAGTATGTGTGTGGGGGGTGTGTGTGTAATGTGTGTGGGGTGTGTGTGGGGATGTACAGTGTGTGCATATAAAGTATGTGTGTGTGGGTGTGTATATATGGAGTGTGTGTGTGTATGTGTGTGGGTTGTGTGTGGGGATGTACAGTGTGTGCGTATGGAGTATGTGTGTGGGGTGTGTGTGTATAATGTGTGTGGGTTGTGTGTGGGGATGTACAGTGTGTGCATATGAAGTATGTGAGTGGGGTGTGTGTATATAGTGTGTGTGGGGTGTGTGTGGGGATGTACAGTGTGTGCATATGAAGTATGTGTGTGGGGTGTGTATGTATAGTGTGTGGTGTGTGTGGGCGGATGTATAGTGTGTGCGGATGAAGTATGCATGTGGGGGGTGTGTGTGTATAGTTTGTGGGGGGTGTTCGTGGGGAGGTACAGTGTGTGCATATGGAGTATGTGTGTGTGTGGAGTGTGGAATGAGTGTGTGGAGTGTGTGTGTAATGAGTGTGTGGAATGTGGGGGGTATGTGAGGTGTGTGTGTAGTGTTTGTGGAGTGTGGGGGTGTGTACAGTGTGTGTGGAATGAGTGTGTGTGGAGTGTGGGGTGTGTACAGTGTGTATGGAATGAGTGTGTGTGAAGTGTGGGGTCTGTACAGTGTGTGTGGAATGAGTGTGTGTGGAGTGTGGGGTGTGTACTGTGTGTGTGGAATGAGTGTGAGTGAAGTGTGGGGTCTGTACAGTGTGTGTGGAATGAGTGTGTGTGGAGTGTGAGGTGTGTACAATATGTGTGGAATGAGTGTGTGTGGAGTGTGGGGTGTGTACAGTGTGTGTGGAATGAGTGTGTGTGGAGTGTGAGGTGTGTACAATATGTGTGGAATGAGTGTGTGTGGAGTGTGAGGTGTGTACAGTGTGTGTGGAATGAGTGTGTGTGGAGTGTGGGGTGTGTACTGTGTGTGTGGAATGAGTGTGTGTGAAGTGTGGGGTCTGTACAGTGTGTGTGGAATGAGTGTGTGTGGAGTGTGGGGTGTGTACTGTGTGTGTGGAATGAGTGTGTGTGGAGTGTGGGGTGTGTATTGTGTGTGTGGAATGAGTGTGTGTGGAGTGTGGGGTGTGTACTGTGTGTGTGGAATGAGTGTGTGTGGAGTGTGAGGTGTGTACAGTATGTGTGGAATGAGTGTGTGTGGAGTGTGGGGTGTGTACTGTGTGTGTGGAATGAGTGTGTGTGAAGTGTGGGGTCTGTACAGTGTGTGTGGAATGAGTGTGTGTGGAGTGTGGGGTGTGTACAGTGTGTATGGAATGAGTGTGTGTGAAGTGTGGGGTCTGTACAGTGTGTGTGGAATGAGTGTGTGTGGAGTGTGGGGTGTGTACAGTGTGTATGGAATGAGTGTGTGTGGAGTGTGGGGTGTGTACAGTGTGTGTGGAATGAGTGTGTGTGGAGTGTGGGGTCTGTACTGTGTGTGTGGAATGAGTGTGTGTGGAGTGTGGGGTGTGTACTGTGTGTGTGGAATGAGTGTGTGTGGAGTGTGAGGTGTGTACAGTATGTGTGGAATGAGTGTGTGTGGAGTGTGGGGTGTGTACTGTGTGTGTGGAATGAGTGTGTGTGAAGTGTGGGGTCTGTACAGTGTGTGTGGAATGAGTGTGTGTGGAGTGTGGGGTGTGTACTGTGTGTGTGGAATGAGTGTGTGTGGAGTGTGAGGTGTGTACAGTATGTGTGGAATGAGTGTGTGTGGAGTGTGGGGTGTGTACTGTGTGTGTGGAATGAGTGTGTGTGGAGTGTGAGGTGTGTACAGTATGTGTGGAATGAGTGTGTGTGGAGTGTGGGGTGTGTACAGTATGTGTGGAATGAGTGTGTGTGGAGTGTGGGGTGTGTACAGTATGTGTGGAATGAGTGTGTGTGGAGTGTGGGGTGTGTACTGTGTGTGTGGAATGAGTGTGTGTGGAGTGTGGGGTCTGTACTGTGTGTGTGGAATGAGTGTGTGTGGAGTGTGGGGTGTGTACTGTGTGTGTGGAATGAGTGTGTGTGGAGTGTGGGGTGTGTACTGTGTGTGTGGAATGAGTGTGTGTGGAGTGTGAGGTGTGTACAGTATGTGTGGAATGAGTGTGTGTGGAGTGTGAGGTGTGTACAGTGTGTGTGGAATGAGTGTGTGTGGAGTGTGAGGTGTGTACAGTGTGTGTGGAATGAGTGTGTGTGGAGTGTGGGGTGTGTACAGTGTGTGTGGAATGAGTGTGTGTGGAGTGTGAGGTGTGTACTGTGTGTGTGGAATGAGTGTGTGTGGAGTGTGGGGTCTGTACAGTGTGTGTGGAATGAGTGTGTGTGGAGTGTGGGGTGTGTACTGTGTGTGTGGAATGAGTGTGTGTGGAGTGTGAGGTGTGTACAGTATGTGTGGAAGACTGTGTGTGGAGTGTGAGGTGTGTACAGTATGTGTGGAATGAGTGTGTGTGGAGTGTGGGGTCTGTACAGTGTGTGTGGAATGTGGAGTGTGTGGGGTCTGTACAGTGTGTGTGGAATGAGTGTGTGTGGAGTGTGGGGTGTGTACAGTGTGTGTGGAATGAGTGTGTGTGGAGTGTGAGGTGTGTACTGTGTGTGTGGAATGAGTGTGTGTGGAGTGTGGGGTGTGTACAGTGTGTGTGGAATGAGTGTGTGTGGAGTGTGAGGTGTGTACAGTATGTGTGGAATGAGTGTGTGTGGAGTGTGGGGTGTGTACTGTGTGTGTGGAATGAGTGTGTGTGGAGTGTGAGGTGTGTACAGTATGTGTGGAATGAGTGTGTGTGGAGTGTGGGGTGTGTACAGTATGTGTGGAATGAGTGTGTGTGGAGTGTGGGGTGTGTACAGTATGTGTGGAATGAGTGTGTGTGGAGTGTGGGGTGTGTACTGTGTGTGTGGAATGAGTGTGTGTGGAGTGTGGGGTCTGTACTGTGTGTGTGGAATGAGTGTGTGTGGAGTGTGGGGTGTGTACTGTGTGTGTGGAATGAGTGTGTGTGGAGTGTGGGGTGTGTACTGTGTGTGTGGAATGAGTGTGTGTGGAGTGTGAGGTGTGTACAGTATGTGTGGAATGAGTGTGTGTGGAGTGTGAGGTGTGTACAGTGTGTGTGGAATGAGTGTGTGTGGAGTGTGAGGTGTGTACAGTGTGTGTGGAATGAGTGTGTGTGGAGTGTGAGGTGTGTACAGTATGTGTGGAAGACTGTGTGTGGAGTGTGAGGTGTGTACAGTATGTGTGGAATGAGTGTGTGTGGAGTGTGGGGTCTGTACAGTGTGTGTGGAATGTGGAGTGTGTGGGGTCTGTACAGTGTGTGTGGAATGAGTGTGTGTGGAGTGTGGGGTGTGTACAGTGTGTGTGGAATGAGTGTGTGTGGAGTGTGAGGTGTGTACTGTGTGTGTGGAATGAGTGTGTGTGGAGTGTGGGGTGTGTACTGTGTGTGTGGAATGAGTGTGTGTGGAGTGTGAGGTGTGTACAGTATGTGTGGAATGAGTGTGTGTGGAGTGTGGGGTGTGTACTGTGTGTGTGGAATGAGTGTGTGAAGTGTGGGGTCTGTACAGTGTGTGTGGAATGAGTGTGTGTGGAGTGTGAGGTGTGTACAGTATGTGTGGAAGACTGTGTGTGGAGTGTGAGGTGTGTACAGTGTGTGTGGAATGAGTGTGTGTGGAGTGTGGGGTGTGTACGGTGTGTGTGGAATGAGTGTGTGTGGAGTGTGAGGTGTGTACTGTGTGTGTGGAAGACTGTGTGTGGAGTGTGAGGTGTGTACAGTGTGTGTGGAATGAGTGTGTGTGGAGTGTGGGGTCTGTACAGTGTGTGTGGAATGTGGAGTGTGTGGGGTGTGAGCACAGCGGTAGAGATCGACCACAGGGCCCTGGCAGACCCTGGCCCTCTGTTCCCCAGCAGCAGCCTCCAGTGGAGCCTGGACCCCACAGGCCCGCAGGCCTAGGGGCTTATACACCCGTCACCTGCCATGTGCCGAGGCTGTGGCTTTAGCTTTACTGAGACAGAAGGATGGAAGTGGGGGACTCTGGTACACAGAGTGAGTGTGCCAGGGCATGGGTGGTGTTCCCCACACACAAGGCAGGGGGGCTTTCAAAGGCTTGGTAGAGGGAAGGATGTGAAAGAAACAGAATCAGGCCAGGCATAAGGGGGTCAAGGCACCAGTGATCCTGGGTTCTCCCGGAAGCAGATCCCAAAACAAGGATCCAAGCACAAATGGGATATTTGGAAGATGATCCCAGAAAACATGGGCAGGAGGGCTGGGAAAGAGGCAGGGAGGCCAGGCCTGCCAGCACCTGGCACCTAGCCCACAGGTGCATTCCAGGAGCCAGGCAGGACAGCTGTCTGAGGGTCTATCTGCTCAAGGGCACGGAGCTGCTACTGTACACAAACTGCTGTTAGAGAGCTGCTGACCGCAAGGGAGGGCCACAGTCCCTCGGCATTTGGTCACCTGAGGGCAGCAAAGCAGGCATCGGGGTCTGAGGAAGGACTCAGGCAATGATGTGTGTGTTTGCAGTGGGTGATGAGCCTGGGTGTGGTCAGCATGGAGTGGTGTGATAGGGTCCTGCCAGGGTCAGCCATGGGCAGTTCAGGAAGAGAGGACAGCTTGTAAACACCCACCAACGTGGCTGAGGCGAGCCCAGTGGAGACAAAGGGCTGGGTGGACAGGGGAAGGAAGAGCCACGTGGGGCTCAGAGTCGCCAGGCCAGGTGTTGGAGTGTGCAAGGTTCATTGACCAGGAACAGGGGCTGCTGGTTTTCTGGGGGCCCAACTAGGTCACACCCAGCTCCTCTTACTGTACTCATGCACGGTTGCCCGGATGAAGCTGCCGTTGACTTTGACCAAGGTCTCATTGGGTGAGTGCTCCACACGGAAGGTCTGGAGGGCCCAGGCGTCTCCGGGGAGCAGCGTGCTTGTGTACCGCCTCAGGAGCTCCCCGGATGCTGGCACCACATCTGCATCGAAGACATGCAATGTGGCCACCACGGTGCCCTGCAGGAAACAGGAGGTGCCAGTCAAAGCTCCTACAGCCCAAGACTGAGAAAGGGCAGGTACCCCACAGGTGGACCAGGTAAACACACAGCTGGCTCTAGGGACAGACTGGCCTGTGTTCAAGTCTCCACAGGGTAAACTGCCAGCCTGGCTCAGTCACCCTCCCTGGGTCACTGTGCCTTGCCTCACCTGTGCAACAGGTGTGATAGGTATCTACAGACTTCCTGTAAGGATGGATCAAAGCAGATGCCCTGATGCTCTGCTGAGAAGCCTCATCCAGGACACTGCAGAGCACAGTGAATACCATACTGTCTCCCAAGCCAGCCACATCCCACAGGCTGGAGGGGTTAGCTCAGTGTCACACAGTGATCCACGACAGCGCTGGATCCAAGCCCAGGTGCATACCAGAATGCTCACCTCCAAGCATCTGCACCCCAGGCTGGAGAGGGCTGTAGGGAAGGCTCTAAGCAAAGTCACAGGGCACCTCTTCTCTTCGCTAACTACATTCCCTATTGTCACCCAAGGCAGTCACTCCAGACTCAGGGGACATTTCCTCACAAGATGTGCTTTTTCCCCACTGACACACTCACCAAACCTAGTCCTGGAGTGCCCAGAGAAGCAGACAAAGACAACACACCACCTGTCCACCTTCCCATTGTGCCTGCCAGCTGGCCGGCTGCAGGACAGCCAGAGGCCCAGCAGGTGGCAGTTACGCTCCATCTGTGTGACCAGAGAGGATTGGGGCTGGGGCTGGGATGGGCAAGCCCCCCTCCCCCCAGTTCCCAGTTCTGCCTTTCTCCACTTGAGAGTTACCTCAAAGCAACCCCTGGCCTTCCTCGAAGGCTGAGTCTGGTGAAAGGCAGTGTGCTCCAGCTAGTCGCTGTCCTCTCCCCTTGCGGGCACACCTCAGATGCACGCCCTTAGCCTTGCCTGCCTGCTGGGACACAGGCTGGGCCCCCAGGGCCCCAGCCATCACTGTCAGGGCCAGCTGGGAGCTGGCTGGGTTGCCCTGGAGGCAGGCAGAAAGCCCTGACTGACAACTGACAAACAAAATCAACTAGAGGGATGGTCATCCTCATGGCTGGATGGAGAGACAGACACCGAACAGACAGACAAGACATCAGACAAACACACGGGGACACACCTTCTTCCGCTTGAACTCCACCACGGCACTGGTGGCACCAGTGGAGTCGACACCCCCAAGGAAGGTGGGCGCAGAGTCGTCCTCGTCATACACAGTCACGGGGAAGGGCACCATCACCTCCTCCTCACGAGCACCCATGTGCACTGTGCAGGCAGCCACCAGCTCGTACTTCTCTCGGCGCTCGCGGTCTAGGGCCCACCGCGTGCTCACTTCTAGGCTATCGGGGGCGCAGCGGAAGGGCAGATTTTCACCTGCGCACCAAGCAGACCAGGAACCCTCAGTGTGATCCTGGGCTGGGGACAGGCTGAACAGCCTTCCTCAGGGGCCCAGCAGGAATGAGTGGTGGCTCTGTCAGGCCATGCAGGGGACACAGTGCTCCAAGGAGAGTCTGCGGATGAGCTTTCCTGTGGCTGCAGTCTTCACCAGTGCTGATGGAGGAGAGTGGGGACCGGGAGGCCTGCATCAGGTCCTCACCCTCATCACCTAGAGAGGGCCCTACACCCCTTGGCCCACCTTGCCTCGGCTGTGGGGTAGCACCAGCTCAGCCAGGCTGCAGGCCCAGAGATCCAGCTGCCGGCATGTTCTGCTTTTTGAAAAAAATGTTAGTTTTTTAAATTATGGAGGTAATATGTGTTCATTTTAGAGAGTATGAGATGTCAAGTCACAATCCCAGGACTAGAAAACAGAGGGAACAACTGGTGAATTATGTGATGTTAACACACATTTCCGACTACCAGGTTCACATCCCTGCTCTACAACTCCCGGCTGTCTGGCTTGAGGCTGGTCATTGTGCCTCTGTGACTCAGTTTCCTCACCAGAAGAGGAGTGGATGAGACTGACATGCCCACTCCTTGCCAGGCACTGCTGTGCATTTAGTGACTCCTGTATCCTGCAGTGGGAGGACCAGAAACAACCACACACCCTTCAACCCAAGTGTGTCCTGGAATTTCATCCTCCAGGAGAAACCCGGGAAAGGGGAGATACTGAAGGCTTGGAGGTTGACACGGGAGGGTTACGTCAACTCCACGTGGTGGGAAATCTGAAGTCTCTCACATCAGAGCCACATATTAACATGTGGATTACACATGTGGGGAATGCTTATCATACAATGTTTTCCTCTACTGTTATGGTTACAGAAAACATGCTCAACAAAATTTAATTGTGTCCTCTTTAGCCAGAAGGAGCAGCACGCTGAACCATGCTTTGAGACAGTCTTGCACACGGATGTCTAACCCTGCCATGGGGCAAATGAAGAATGGGGCAGGGCAGTGACTGCTTTTATTGAGGTTTCTCCGACATCATCACCATGTGTGTGCAATAAACCTGGTGAGACTCCAGGTTCCACATACTAGCAGTCCAGCCTCGGTGTCCTTTTCGAGCCCCAGTTCCTTGTCTTTAAACAGTTTCTCAAGTGACTGCTCAGCTGCTTCCCTCCTCTCCACTGGCATCTCCCTCCCTCCCCTCCCCCACACGACCAGGATCATCCTGAGGCCTGGCGGTCTCCTAAAGTGGGCTGTCCTTGCAGCTGTCCAGGCAGAATCCTGGAAGCTTGTTTGGTCTCCTCTCTCCCTCAGCACCCACGTTCAGCTCTGGGAAGTCCAGCTGATTCTTCCTTCAAAGCACGCCCAGAGCATGTCTGCCTCTAGCTGTCCTGTGGTTTCCACCCCCCTCCCAGTCCTGATTGTCTTGCTCAGCGATTTCTCCTGTGGCCTCTTGATTGTCTCCATGCATCTACCCCAAATCACTCCTAACACAGCAGCCAGACGGATCCTTTAAAGATAAGTTAGGTCCGCCCTGGCCAGTTTGGCTCAGCGGTTGAGCGTCGGCCTGTGGACCAATGAGTCCGGGTTCAGTTCCTGCTAGGGGCACATACCAAAAAAAAAAAAGGTAAGTTAGGTCCAATCAATGCCCCCTCAAAAGCCTTCCACGGCTCCCTAGGCCCTCGGTGGGAAGCCCTACCCACTCCTCAGGAACGTCTCTGCCCTCATGCAGTTCTGCCCTCCCAACACCCCAGCTCTCCAGCTCCGTGAGGCCCACTCTGGCACTCTCACAGGGGCCAGCCCTGTTTGCCGAGAGCCCTCCCGGCTCAGCTCCAGTGGCCCCTTCCCTGGCCACCCAACTGAAGACAGCAGTCTCCACCACTCCAATTTCCTGGCTTTCCTCCCTCCTAGCCCCATGCAGAGGCTGCCCGAGTTCCTCAGGACATGGGTGTTCACCACCTTCCATAGGAATGGAAGCTCCAGGCAGGCAGGATTTCTGCTGTCGTCACATCCTCAGCCCTTAGAACAGTGCCTGGCCCACGGCAGGTACACAACAGACACTTCCGGAATATGCAATGAATGGATAGTGTGGTGATGAAGAGTCACCTGCATGGTTCATGCCACGGGTGGGCAGCACTGTGCCCGGCACATAGTAGGCACAGAGGAATGGCCCCATGAGGCCGGCACTCACCTCCCAAGAGCCTGTAGGTAATGCTGATGTTGGGGCAAAGGAACTGCATGGGCAGCTGGCGAAACTGGTGAAAGGTGCCAGGAGGCCTGTTCTCCCGGATTCGAAAGGAGAGGCCTGTCTTGGGGAAGCAGAGCTCCCGGGGTTTGAGGGAGCCACACGCTGGGAAGGAGGTGTTGATGAAGGAAAAATACACACGGGCACAGCCTGGCCACTGGCATTCGCCCTCACGCAGGGCTGTGGGCAGCAGAAAGACCTGGAGGTAGACGGTCAGCAGGGGAAAGCCTCCATCTGCAGAGAGAGAAGTCAAGCCCAGTGGGGTGTCAGCAACATCTACCAGGTGGTGAGGAACAGGAGTGGGGGCAGGAGCTCCAGGGTGGGTATAGAGCCCAGTCCTCCTGGTGGTCCCCAGGACTCTGCTGAGCTCTCTGACCTGGCCGGTCCCCTCCTGTTAGCCCTGCACTGCCCTGGACCTGGGGTCTGTCGGCCTCAGGCTCTGTGGTTCTGCTTCCTCCACCTAGAGATCCATCACAGACCACGCCTCCTGTCATTCAGGTCTCAGCTCAAAGACTCCTCCTCAGGGAGGTGCCCAGCGCTGGGTCTAAAGCTCTTCCTGGCTTCCCCGTCAGCCTGTGCTGGCCTGTCGGAGGGTGCCCTGAGCCCTGGTCTAACACCAGGTGGAGAGCTCCCCCAGGCGGTTTCCTCACAGAGCACCTCTGCAGACACATGCTCTGGACAGAGTACCTAGCATCTAGAGGTGGGATTTCCAGCAAGTTCCATCATGGAGGCACCACGGTGATTCCCTTTCGAATGAGGTCTGGACCTCAGCTGGGTGAGGGAACGCTTCCTGAACTCTCCCTTGGCCTAGAGATGTGGATGCTCCTCACATCTGCTCTTTCCACACTCACTAGTTCTCTCTGCCTCTTACTAGCCTGTTGCTCCAACGCCATGACAGTTACTAATTCCCCACACAAATCTCCCCTCTTCACATTACTGTGTGCTTTCTCTCCTGGCTGGACCCAGCAGGTGCTCGAGGCTGCTCCCCTGAAGAACAGGCCTCCTAAGAAATGGAACACTTAGCAAATTCCACCCTGGCCTCCACCCCAGGGACCCTGGCTCTTCAAGTTCCCAGAACAGGGGCTTGGGATGAAGATGACAGCAACTAAGTGTGTGCATCAAGATCCACCTCAGGTGCACCTCTTCCAGGAACCATCTGGAGTGCCCTGGGGGACCCTGATTTTACTTGGGGGCCCTCATTTTACTTGGCAAATGAGTGCAGTCATTCGGCACTGCTGGGCAGTGGCATTCACCTCATTCTCAGGTGGCCTGCCTCTTACCCGCACATGGAAGCTCAGGGCTGGTGTGAGGGTCCAGTGGGGACCTACTGAGTGTGCAATCACCATTCTGTGTCACAAGGCAAAAGTCTGCTTCATACACTTTCTTCCCCTGCACCAGGGACACACACGGCCTCCCCCCAGGCTCTGACCCCTGCTCTGAGGATCTGGTCAAGTCTTCCTGCTGCTCCGCTCTACTCCTTGATACCAGATCCGAGCCCCCACCAGGTGCCAAGAACAGCTTGCTGCTGATAGTCAGACAGGCGTTCTGTGAAAGCTGCTGCTTCTCCAGCTCATTCCAGACCGTTTGCTAAATAAAAACCTTGGGATTTTTCCATCCCCTCTTAAGCTCTCGCTCAAAGCCCTAAATCCTTGTTAACCCAACCGGTAAAGGCGTCTGGGTCCAGCATGGAGAGAGTACCCACATCTCTCACACAGGCCCTGCAAAACACTAGAAACATCAGAAAACCCCAGGGTCAGCAGCAGCCTCCAAACTTGTCCTGGACCCTTCTCCAGGCTGGACACAGAATCAGTCTCTCTCACTCTCACACAGCAAGAGTCCACCTCTGAGCCTTGGTGTGGGTGTACCGTGGGCTGTGGGAGGAGAAGACGGGGGTGGGGGCAGGGCTTCTGATCCCTTACTGCGGATGCTGAGCTTCTCCCAGGAGCTGTGGTCTAGGCTCCAGTTAAGGTAGAGAAGGCCCGTGTCCTCCTGGATGCGAATCCAGTTGTTCTCGTGCAGCCGTTTTCGATAGGCGCTGTAGAGGTGCTGGCCCAAGCGGAAGCTGGGCACCTCATCGGGGACGTCACGCAGGGCGTGGACATAGAGCAGGGGCATTCCAGCTGGCTGGTCCACGTACAGCTTCTCCCAGTAAGCGTCCCTGGAGAAGTAGAGTCCCAGCGGGGCTGCGGGGAGCAGGGAATCGAGTGAGGGAGGAGGAGCGGGGTGATGATAGAGCTAGGAGCAGATCTCTGAGGCCGACTGGCATTCCCCAGCGACTTCATTTCACACCTTGATAAAAGATTCTCATGGAGCCCCCTCCCCAAAAATTCACTAATTTAAAACTGTGAACGTAGTAAGACTTTCTCATCTGCAGTTCTAAGAACATCGACACCATTATTTGTATAAACACTAGCTGAAAATGCACTGCTTAAAACAGAAAAAGGAGAAAAAGCAGCAGCTGCAAAACCATTCTCAATTACCCAAGCTCAGTAAGCTTGGGAGCAAGAGTGGGGGGTTCACGCAGGCTTCTGAACAAGTCACCTGGAGCCAGAGTTTTCGAGTTTACAAGACACTGCCAGGCAAGAGTCACTAAAAATGAATCAAGTACTTTATAAGAAAGTAACACATTTTTATCTGAAGTTAAACACACTCCTACCATATGACCCAGAAATTCTACTCCATTTGTCCAAGAGAAATGAAAACATATGTCTATCGGACGACTTATTCACCAATGGCAGGGTTATTCACTGCCGTGAACTGGAAGCAACCCCGATGCCCTTCAAGGGTGAGTGGATAAGCCGGCAGTGCTTATCACAGCATGGCATCCTATGCAGCGATGAAAAGGGATGAGCCACTGCCACATACGAGTTGGACTGGTCTCAGACATCAGGCCAAGCAGAAAAAGTCAGGCACAAAAGAATATACCTGGCACAATCCTAGGCTGATTTTAGGTGACAGAAAGCAGACTGGCTACCTGTTGGGAGCAGGGAGGCAACAGACTGGGAAAGCAGAAGAGGACATTCTGGGGAACATAAAGGTTCCATATCCTGACAGGGGTATGGGTCACATGGGCACGTCCACTTGTCAACAATGTACAGCCAAGAATTCTGCATTCCCACCTATGTAAATTGTGTCTAAAAACCTGCTCACTGAGGGGCTGTAGGTGGAGCTAGGAAGGCAGATGCTGACCACCGCCAGCAGAAGGACATGCACCAAACACTAGTGATCAGAGATGCTGCCAGTGGGTCGCAGCTCGCAGGGCTGCAGGGAATCCCACGGGGTGTGGAGAGGGCGGGCAGCCTGGGTCTTCCAGAGGCCCAAGAGAGTACCAGCTCTCCTCAGCGTGCCTGCTACCTCCACGGAGGTGGGTTCTTCTGGCTCCAGAGTACCAGCAAGGGAACGCTGTGCGGTGACCTGACAACCAAGCTTATGTGATGAGAGGCAACATATCTTCTGCCGGCTTGTTCTCTTGGGACACACACCCCGGGCCCAGGTCACTGGGTGAGAACCCGTTGCCTTTGGAGCCACCCTGCAAGGAGGACCTTGAAGATAGGGCTTGTCAGGGGGAGATGCTCCGCCCAGAGTTCCCCACCTGTCAGTAGGTAGGAGCAGATGCAGTATGGGCTCCTCCGGGGGGGGCGGGGTCCCCTGAGCACACACTCAGTGGTTCAGGGCCTCCGAGGTAGGATAAGCTGGACTCCTGGGAACCCCTACCTCCAAGTTGATCTACTCGCCCACAACACAGACTACATCTGCAGGGGAGAACGGGCCCTGTCTGCTCTCGGCTCACAGGGCCCAGCCCTGCACAATCCATGTGGGGCCCAGTCTGCTGCTGCCAAAAAGGATTTGTGGGCCAGGCGATGATTGTGAGCAGAAACAGACTCAAATGCACTTCAAATGCCTTCCAGGTGGTTCCTGGAGCAGGGCATGGTTGCCTCAACGCTCCTTGTCACAAACACTTTTAGATGGAAAACATGTGCTCCCAGGTGCAGGGGAGGGAGGGGATGTGGGCGCAGGGCTGGCCTCAAGAGGGCATAGCCTGGGCAGGCCCACGGGGCCCACGCTTGGTTTAAAGCTGTCGTCATTGTCTTGAAATTCTTCATAATTTTAGAACAAGGGGCGCACATTTTCATTTTATACTGGGTCTCACAAATGATGTCCCCAATCTTGGTGAGTGAATGACAGCCTGAGATAGGCCACTGGTGTCTATTTCCATGGCCTGTGGAGTACTGGCCTCCTCTGGGCCTCAGTTTCTCTAAATGAACCAGAGGAGGAAATGCTGGAGAGAGGAGGGGCCAGCGTAGGTGCAAACAGGCCTCACCTTTGCACAGGTACATACTGTACAAACCTCCCACATAATATTCAAAACCACCACGTGCAGATCTCCTTGCTACCCCATTTCACAGTTAGGGACACCGAGACTGGGAGGTGAGGCATGTCGCCAAAGCCAAATAGCTAAAGGCTCTACATCTTGGGGTTCAGCACAGTGGCTAACAAAGTGGTGGCAGGAGTCAGGATAAAGGCAGATGCTGAGACTACTGGGGGGCCCAGGGCCGGTCTGGATGACCACTCCCCATGGCTCGCACCTTCCTGCTGGGTAGAGCTGCCTGGCACCTGTCCCTGGCACTTTGGGCAGGTCAACAGCTGGACTTAAAAGCCTTTCCCATCCATGTCTTCCACCTCTGAAGGCCATGTGGTAACAGAATTCTCCCCACACCTAGCCTAACACTGGTGCCTAGATAGGCATGGCTAGCATCCTCCGGCAGCGGCACCTTGTGGTTCTGGTGCCCTTGCACCCTGGCACCATGCTGAGGGTCAAGAGATGGCTTTTGCTCACATAGGATAGGCAGGTCCTACATCTGCCGAAGAGACCCCAGGAAACTTCATGGCCTGTGTGTGTGCCTGCACACATGGGTAGTATACTGTTTGTGCACATGGGTGTGCAGGATGTGGCAATAGAGACAGAGGCTCACTGGCCCAAGACCCCACCTGCTCCTGTCCAACCCCAGCCCAGCAGGGAAAAGGTGCGGAACGAACATTCAGTGGGGTGAAGGGCCGTCCTACGCCTCGCAAGGCCTCCTCAGTATCTCCTTTATAAGCAACGCCACCCCCCCCCAAGTCTGCCAAGGGGGCAGTGAAGGTTTCAGTCACCCAGCCTCGGTTTTGCTTCTGCCTTTACCTTTTTGTAGTGTGGCAAGGCAGGTTCCAGTGCTCCATACTTGATTGGGATGTTTAATTTATTCATATTTGATGCAGACAGAACATGGCCCAAGTCGTCTCCTCCCTCTTGTTTACTCAACCCTTCCCAAGAGCACACACGTGCATGCATGTGTACACACACACACACACACACACACGATGCCTACCCGGGACTCTCTGAGTACTCCTCTGCAGTGAGCAGGGTAGGATGCTAAGCCTCATCGGTTGAGGCCACTGTAGGCACAGAGGGGCTTCACTCCTGCTTCTGGTCATCACTCCACTTTTTCAAGCTCCTGATGCCTCAGAGTTGTTCTCTCATCACAGTTTAATAACACATATATGAACTCCAGTTCAGTCACTGTGTGTGCTATTTCCTGACTGGACCCCATTCTCTTGCTCACTTAGTGCAGACAAACTGACCCCTGCCAGGCCCTGACTATGGGCTCACCTTTGTCAGCTTTCCATGGTCTGGGCCAGCCCCGGCCATTAGGGACCACACACAGCTCACCTGAGGTTCCTTTGACCTCCTCTCCACCTTCTGTGGTGGATGTACTGCCAACTGACCATATAGGCACCTCCTGGACCAATGCCCTCAGTCTCTCATCCCACCTCTGGGCCTGCCCTCCAGGCTGTTCTGAGCATCTGCCATGGAAACTCACAGAGCCACAGCCAACTAAAAATAACAACATGAAAGCCAGATTTGGGGCTCTTGAGAAACTGTGAAATGGTATGGCCCAAGAAGTGTGTGTGGCCAGCAGCAGCACCTGCTATATGTGTGCAGGGCAGACCATTCCTGTAGGTCCATTCACGGATGGCTCACTCGCACCCTTGGCCAGCGCTGGCTGGTGCAAACAACAGTTTTATTGAGGCCTGCAGTCTCTCCAAGAGACGATAGGACAACGGTCTCAAGGTCCAGGCAGTTCTTACTAAATGCTTTTCTTGCTAAATGTTAAAATGTAGCATAGTATTTTGCAGATACAGATGTAAACAGGATGAGCTTGACAGGAACCCAACCAGATAAGTGTAGCCAACTTCAAAGAAAAAATTAACATGTAATTAACCACATAGTGTATATAAGCAATGGCTAAGCCTCCCTTCAAGGAGACAGAACTTGGATGTGAACTGCCTGCCTTCTTTACTTGCTGCGAGTAAACAGAACTCCCTAACAGCAACCATGTATCAACACCCTAAGCAGCGGACCCCTTCCAGTAACATCTTCGCTGGTAATGCAAAAAGATAGCAGTGTCTCCTCCTTAGGGTGGCCCCTCCCTAACACTCCTCCCCAAGCAGGCCAGCTGCCCCTTGCGTAGAGGTCCCTCCAGCCTCAACCCGGGCCCAGCACCAGTACTTGGCACCATCAGCCTCAGTATTTGGCCTGTCTACCCACAGCCCTTCTCCCACATCCCATTCATGTTTTCTCTTTATTCTAGTTGAATATTTGCTACATAGAAGGAATACATTTTGCATAACATTTACCCTGAAAGTGGACACCACAGCAAAAACATGGCCAGCCTAACGGACCTGAAACAAAACCGCTGCCCCCACATTCCACTATCCACTCCATCCCACTCATAGCAAACATGAACCTGGGTCTTGCCTATCTCTTGCCTTTAAAAAAAGTACTTTTCGCTGTGGCCGGTTTGGCTCAGCAGGAGAGCGTCGGCCGATGAGTCATGGGTTTGATTCTGGTCAAGGGCACGCACCTCAGTTGCAGTTCCTCCCCAGTCCTGGTCGGGGTCGTGTGGGAGGCAACAGGTTGGTGTGTCCTTCTCAGGCTGATGTTTCTCTCTCTCTCCCGTTCTCTCCCTCCTGCTCTATCTGAAGATAAAGAGAAAAATATCCTTGGGTAAGGATTTTAAAAGAAAGTACTTTTACCTACTCTAGACTTATAGGGGTGATCACTTCGTAAGTTATAGAAATGTCTAAGGTGAGCCCTTAGTCAGGGCCTGGCAGGACTCCGTGGGTCTGCACTAAATGAGCAAGA